GGAGTAGCTTTTTGATTAAAAAAAAGGAATGCTTTCACAGCAGTCAGCCTCCTGGTTGGTACATGACTAATTCAGCAAGACTGCCTTGCATTCAGGTTTCCCTTTTAAATTTCCAGTCTGTTTCTCAGACCCTGCTGAGTTTAACTAGGTCCTCTCTCCTTTAAGAACAAAACAAACCCACAATGGCCAACACGTGCTTCTACTCACCTACAGTAAATTAAATACTAAGAGAAGATGGACAATGTCCTGCAAAAGTACACAGTGCTAAAAATACTTTGATCTCCCAACAACAGTGGTTATTACTATATGACAAAAACTGTGCCTTCAAAGGTAATGTTAAAAAATACAACCAATGTGCTACCTACAAAAAGCACATGCTTGGATGCTGAACTAACAAGGAAAATAAACTCAAGGAGTAGGGTCAGTAAAGAACATGGTTAATGCCTGAACTCTGTGAAGTTCCCAGGCACATCATACCCACACAGAGAAGAGGAAGACCTAACACAAAATTCCACATCCAGATGCATTCACCAGGAAAGAAATACGAAGTTACTTCTCAACGTCTGAAATGCTGTCAATTTGGGATCCAGGGACCAGTATCTCCCTGGTCAGGCTTTCAGTATCTTTTTTTTTAAAAATTTATTTCCTAAGAGCTGATCAAGGTTCTCTCTTAAAAGTGAGAGCAAAACAATGCTTGGGACTCCCCAGCTAACATGAAGGGGCTCTGCTAGAAACCAGTCAGGGTGAGCTGCCCAGAACCACCATAGAGAACAGAAGCAGCACTTGGCATTAGCCTTGCTCCATTTCCACTGTGCACAAGGGAACAGATGCTCCTCAGTTCCCCTGCATTTCTGCCTCCTCTTCAAAATATGACAGAGAGAACAACAGATGACATCTGCTATGCCACACCCCTCAGCCTGCTTCCCTCTGCCCAGTGATGGAGTGTAGGACCTCATCTGCTCTCCTTCATCCTTCCATCTCACTCTCTCCCTTTTCCTCCTCTGTTAAGGGAGAAGCAGGGAAGTTATTTCTCCAGCTAACACTCTCTCTATGTCAGTAGGAAAAAGTGCTGAGAGAAAATAATCTGGTCCTCGAGCAAATGCTAAAGCCTGCAGCTGCAGCTGAAATTCTGCAGTGGGCTCTGCTCCCAACTCTCAACAATCTCCTAACAGTCTCTCACAGCTGACAACCAGTTTGCCAGGATTCTTGATCAGAACCCAGGTTTTACACTCAAGGCTGTTATATCAAAAATAGAAGGAACCATCCATCCCATTCCAATCTATTGACTCTTCCCACCGTAAGTGGTGTCTGCCAGAGATGCACATCAGGGGGCTCCCAGCCCTGCACTGACTGCCAGTCTCCTGCAGTGCCTGGAAGGTCAATGGAGGTTTTGCTCCTGCACTACGATCAGGCTGAGGTGGGAGCAACATGCGTAGCTATGAAGGCACCTGCACTTCCAGGCATTTGCAGAGTCCAAGTACCTACAATGAATTGCAATTCTGAACTTCAGCAGTTATCTACTCAGACCTGCTTACGGTGCCCAAATCAGTTATTCAAAATTAGTCCTAAATTCCTTAGCCAGGTGTGAGAATTTGGGTCTCCTGTTTGCAATCTACTGCTTAGCTTACAAGAGTGCTCCTGTGGCTTAAACCCAACATGACTACATAGCTCTAAGGGAAGTCTTGCATGTTGGGGGAAAGTTGGCACAAATACAAACATCTACAGCATCTTCACAGAAAGCTTAAAATCTGAGAAGTTTATTGGATTGAACAGATGAAAATAAATAACAAAAGTGGGGACTCATTAGGTTTAGTTGTTCATATTCACGTATACTCATTCCAGCTGTGGAGAACGTGTTTCAGAATAAACAGCATTGTAGATGACTGTGTGTAAGATCGCACCCTGCCTAGTTTCTGCCCATCAGCAAACTCTAGGAAGACTTTCTTCACACAAAAACCCAACCAACCAATCAACAAAAAAACCCTCCAAACCTTTCCGTGGCTACTTTTCAGTTGCAGGAGCTACTCACAAGCCTGCTGAAATGACAGTTCACTGGTTGCAAGGATAAGAACACGTAAGGTTCCTTTCATAATGCTTTATGCTAAAATCAGAATGTACTTTATCTAAATAGTAGGATCTTACACATTTTGATGTTTGGAAGTTTACTTAAAAATAGTATGAAAATATACTTAAAATACTACAGCTTGAAACAATGCACGACAGAAACAGTCTGCAGGCCAAGCATGCAGAATGGGAATCACAAGGTTCTGATGGACAACAGGGAAGAGTACAGATTACCAGAAATTACATGACTGTTCTCATTAAAAATAGTAAAACATTACATTACAGGAAATACTAAAAATACAGTAAACTTTGCAGTCTGTAGGTTCTGTAAGAAGAATGGGTTTTAGTGCTCTATTAGTTATTATTCAAACTCAAACAGTACTAGCTCCTTAATCTACAGTGGCACTGTATAGATATGCCAGGATCTGCAGTTTGAGTTGTACTGGTCATTGTGACAGGTAACATTCAATGAAGTTGAGATAAAACATCAGCTATCACAAGAACAACTGTATAAAATTCCCTGAAAAATTGCGCAGGAGTCAACCAACAGTGGCTGCTGATACCAGATAAAGCAAGAGAGAGGATATGTGCTCGCTTTACAGCTGGCAGTGACCACCAGCTGAGAGTCTATGCTGGACTTGCTCTCACAAGAATCCTACATATGTCTGTCCATCTCGGGGTCTAGTTTTAAGCCCAGACATAATTTTTCTAGCCCATTCCTGCCGAGGACTTCTGAACTGGTCTAGAAAATGTCTTCCTTTTCACAGCAATAATGCACTATGAACTCAGCATCTTGTAGGAAAGTACAATTAAACAATTTACAGAGGATAAAAATAAACCCCAACCTCATAAAGGTTTTATTCCCCTCCTTTTCCCCTCAATATGAAGGCTACTCTGCTTTTGTTCCCCCTCCCACTTTCTCCCCCCCCTCGAATAAGCAGATGCAATCAAGGAGAAATTTATTTTGAACGAATTCTGCAAAACAGTTCAACAATGCCATACTTTATAAAAATACTTAGTTACATAATTAAACTTATTACTATTTATATAAAAAGTGTGAATGTGAATTTTAAACTCTGTTAGGGTAAGAACCACATCAAGGTCTTCAAGTGAAACAAATAAATTTTCATAAACATACAAACTCTTTTGGAGAAGTTTTATAATACACAACCATTTACAATGAACACGTTCATTAAGTTAGTGTTTTATTCCTTTACTATACAAGTGTTATTACAATTAACTGTTCCATTCGGTAATTAAAAATCCAAACAATGCCAGTGTCATTGTTGGCATTTTTGTTATAACCTTATTAATACATAAACTCATATGATTGTGTTATTAATTTTAAAATATTTAGAAAAATTAAAATTCATCATATTTTTGGGTTCATTTGATTATTTTGTGTGTGTGTTTTTTTGTTTTTTGTTTTTCTTACATAAAGCCCTTTTAAAATTTGATAACCAAGGATGTATAGGTGATGAGCAATGATGGTGGAAAATGAAAAATGATGGCACTGTTCTTACACAGATCTGTTTGGTAGCTGGATTCAATGTAGTGTAAACCCGTGAAGAATGTTAACGTTTAGTACCAGAACTATATTACCAGCTTTTCTGAAATTCATTTCTTGGATAGCTTTACAATGATAAGATGAATTCCAGCCTGGTACCTAAGTAAGAGTTTAGTGTTTCAAAATTAAAGTACATAAGCTTGACCAGAAATTCAAGAACCTCATGCAAATTGAGTAAAAGACATGACGTTATTGCTTGATATGTCAGTAGCCAAAGAAAATAAATCTAGATGTAGTGTCAGCTGGGCTGAATGCCAGCAAATTTCAATATCTGGAAAATATTAAATATATTTTCTCCTTTAAACGTTCACATTTTCTTTTGTTTATTTTTAGTTAAATAATTCTGTAGGAAGGGCAGAGGTGGGAAGAGCAACTGTGTGTAAGTGTGTCTTAATAGTCAAGAAAAGCAAAAGTGCAATCAAATCCCTGAACTAGTGACAGATATCGTTTGTGGCGCCCACCCTCGTTAACACACATAAGCCACTTACAACAGTACCAAACCTGTCTCTGAAAAAGGATAAAATGTGGCCATTTACCAGCTTCACTCTTGCTTTCCTGGTGAGCTTTGTTCAGGTAGTCTTCCCATACAAAAGCTCGCTGTTGGATTGGAGCTTAAAAGATTAAAGGCTTTTACCCCCTGATTGTATTACATAGCTTCAAGTTCAAATATCATCATACTTTATCAACACAATTTTATAAAATATTACCTCATTTTCTAGTTACCTTCATTATTCTTAATTAGCTATGCAGAAAGAAAAAAGAAAAATCTCTCATGCTACTTTCCAGTTATAATAATACAAGTATTAACACAGTGCATTATGCTCTCTAATTTCACTATTGAGGTCTACCATTTAGATCAAGTTTCTCATTCACTGTTCCAATTTGTCTTTTAACCTGCCTACCCTAATTAAGTCCATGGAAGAGGAAGCTCAAAGATCAAGACTATATATCCAATACAGTTGTACCATCCTTGTTTTTTGAGGGGGTAGGGGGCACACACATGTCATTTTAAACACAGGGAGTTCTACAGAACTGGAATAGAATTGCTTGGTCCCACAAAGTTCTTCTGTTTTAAAAATGCCTTATCCCAAGATCACTAATTCCAGACAATTCCTTCTTTAGTAGAACGATTAGCAAATATCAGGAATATAAGGGATTTGAAACATTGGTTTTTCTGCTATTGTTCACACCAACACTCATTTTTCTGCCCTGTATTTTGAATAAGCTTCCTTTGGACCCCGAAAATAAGTTGGGAAAGAGGAAAAAATAGAAACATGTCATTGGTAAATTAGAGTATAACACTTTAAAAGTGGTTTTGTGCAACTGCATTATGAAATTCCAGTTTGCCATTAAGAGCATGCAAAGTAGCGAAGATTTTCTTTCCTGTGATTCCTTAGAGACTTCAGGAATTCTTTGCAAGTCTTTTACATTTGGCAGATTTGTGCATGTTATATAGACTGTTGGCTTATAAATTGTCTCCAGGCTGGTACTGTGGTTCTGTAGCAGTAAAGTAGTCCTCCAAGAAAGACTGTATATATTCAAATGTTGGTCTCTCATCAGGGTCCTTCTTCCAACACAGTTTCATTAACTCATGGAGAGACTCTGGGCAGCCTTGTGGACAAGGCATCCTATATCCACGTTCCACTTGTTCCAAAACTTCTCGATTCACCATCCCTAAAAGGAAAGCATTGTAGCTCTGAATGACATTATGCAAAGAACAGTTTCCCAAAGTTTTTAAAAAGTCTCTCCAGCTGCAACATATGTGGATCTACCAGAACAGAACATTTAATGAATGTGCTTTATAATGAAATGTAATTTTTACATTTTGCATTAAATACATTTTCTGAAAATTATTTCAGTACACTGGTAATTCCTCAATACCTGGTCCTTCTTCTGTGTGCATTTGCTTTCTCATTTGTATACCTTCCCCACTGCCTTGGGCCTGTTCTCTCAAAAAAGAGCCTCCAGCACAAATACCTTCTGCCTGCCTTAGGTTCCATTCAAGGACCAGTTAATTTGAAGTCAGACCAAGAAAAAGGCATTATAGATACGCCTAACAGAACTGCTTTACAAATTCCAATCACAGTGAAATATCTGTCAAGATACGTTTAGTTTCAAAAACTGGTCTAGCAGGTTCTCTACTGATGCTCACTGTACTCTGGGAAAATGTCGAAAGTAGAAATTTCAGGAACAGACAGACAGGAAAAACAGAAGGATACCCACAAATCTGAAACAAACTATCAGTCACATTTACAAATGCTATCATCTTAAAACACTTTAAAATACATATAACAGTTAATCTGTACATAAAACCAAGTAGCTTTGTGAACAAAGGAGCCAGTGAGGCATGAGTAAGTTTTTGTCTGCTTGTCAACTGTAGGCTCTGAATGAAGACACAAAGTACAAAAGGTGACTTCAGAATCACAGAACACAACAAAGAAAAGAAAAGTCTATAAAATTTTCCTGTTACCTGGATATGGCACTCTCCCCTTGGTTACCAGTTCTGTCAGTAAAATTCCAAATGACCACACATCTGACTTGATTGTAAACCGACCATACAATGCTGCTTCTGGAGCAGTCCATTTAATTGGAAATTTAGCTCCTACAAACAGTGGAAAGACAGACACTCAATTTTCCCCTGCTTATGCAGAATTTGTTTACACTTCAAACTATTTTAAAAAGAATACTGCACTCAAAACATTTGTACATTTTGATTTATTGAGAAAATTCGAGGTGGTTTAGTATTTTAATATTTCTCAAACTAGGGCAGCAACTACTGGCTACAATTTCTGGAAGCACTGAAGACACCTGAAATTCTTAATCAAATATGTTTCAAAAAGTGTGATGATATTCAAAACCCGACGAGCAACCTCTCTGAAATCTCACTTCTCTTCAAACTGTAGCAAGTTTTACCCCCAAAAAATATGAACACTTTTTGAGGAAATAAACTGCCAGATAATTTTGAACAACAAAAAGTTTACTAGGATTGCACTTAGGCAAGGGGGTCACGTAAACATAGCTGTGAAAGCACACGTAGAGGCAGATCTTCACTCATGAAGACAGAACAAACAGACACGTTCTGCTAAATGTAATAGTTCTAAACAATTTGAAGGTAGCTAGTCTTATTTATTCAGTAAATCAAGTGGCCTTACCTTGTCTTGCAGTGTACTCATTGTCCTCTATTAACCTTGCTAAACCAAAGTCTGCTATTTTACACACGAGATTGTCTCCTACAAGAATGTTAGCTGCCCGGAGATCCCTGTGAATGTAGTTCATTCTTTCAATGTAAGCCATGCCATCAGCAATCTTAAAAAGAAAGTGTTATTAAAGGTTATTTTTCATTACTATATACGTTTCTCCCAAGCACAAAGCTGCAGCCCTTTATTTTAGCTCAATTTCCATTATGTAAATATAGGAAGCACAGCATAGCAAGTGTTTGTGCCAGCACTGATTAGAGTGTGTCTGGCTACACAGTCTCTGCTAATTGCAAACTAGACTGTTTCTTTTCTGACAAATTACAAGCCTACAACAGAAGGTGAAGGACAGAGCAGCATACAACAGCCAGAGCATTCAATATTTATGTTATATTTATATTATTTGATATCTGATATCTCTTCTCTAAGCACAAAATACTGTTTTCTTGGTTTATACAATGTACCTGAGCAGCCATGTCGACCAGCTGTGGGAGTTTTAAGTATTTCCCTTCTCCTTCTTTAAGGAAGTCTAGCAAGCTGCCTGTAAAAGATGATGCATTTCGGGGAAAAAAAAGAAAAAAACAAACAAAATGAAAACGTTAACTTGACCTGTAAACATGAATCAGATTTTTCCCTAGACATTATAATTTACATACTCATTTCCCAAAATCCATCATTTACTAGAATACACAACTCAGTGCTTGTAGCTACCTAACATTGTCCTGATGACTAGTTAGTGCAAGTTTTATCCACGTATTTTGGAACCCATTTCAATAATCCAGACAACTGAACACTAATAAACCAGACTGCTGCTTGATGATGATATGGCAATACATAAGATTTTTTCCCAATGTTGCTGGTATCAATGCTCTTCCTAGCTGGGCTTTCTTCCACAGTGAGATTTATAATAAAAGAATAAAAAACTACCCCTTCAATTCTTCTGCAAACTCCAGTTATACACTAGAGAAAATATTCCGAAATTGTTGCTTTTATTTTGTCGCTTTTTCACTCTTTCAGGGGAAAACAGAAGTATCTTCCATTATTTACAATATATTATGTTCTCCCATTTATATAATGCAATTGTGCCCAGAACATTACAACATGAGCAGTATCTAGAATCAGTTCCAAGGATCTGTGCTTCTTTTCAGACAGCAATCTTTATATGTGGGGTTAAGCTTTGTCTCTGACTTAGCTTGCCCTACAGGTGGTACAATACCATGAAGTATATGAACATAGTATTTTTCTTAAGAAACCAGTGAAGATTAATAACTAATCAGCCTCATCACATTCAAAATTACAACAACAAAAGTAAAAGTGTGGTGATGGTGGGGGAAAAAGCCACTCAACTCCCTATCTTGCAGTGGATTCACAGCTGTAGCTGTGAATTAGATTCCTCCAATGTGGTTTTAGTCAGTTGCTGTATTTTTGCATTGAAAGAAAAGATGTGGCAGGCCAGGCCCACACTGCCACTGCTGTTTGCTGCGTGTGTTTGCACAGACTTTTCCTGATCTTGCTTTATGAACTAAAAGGACTGAGGAGAAGCAACGATTTCACAGTGATTTCTAGCAACCTGTCCACACTGGAAAAACAATTGGGTACTGTGCAGTCCTTACCCACCTCTTTTCCTCCTAAAAGGAGGAATAAAAATAAATTGCTATACTAGCTTAAGTATGAGCCACCAAAGAAGTTCAATGCATTTTTTTGTAAAATGTGCAAAGTTTCTCAAATGAAAACAGTGAACAGAAACTTCAATGGCATTTTGAATCTGTAATTTAGACAAAGCTGCAACTGTTTTTCCAGGTCTTTACTTCTGATTTTGCAAGGTAACCAGTTCTGGTTTTTAACTTTGCTTTTCATTAGACAGTTATAAATATATTTGATTTCCTGACTGCCTTGCTGCAACGTGATTTCTGAACAATGAAAACAGCTTCTGCATTGCACCTTTAAGGTCTGACAGAGAGACTGGTATTATTTAGGAACAATGACAACAGCACAGAAGGAACTTACTAGAATCCTTTTCCAACCTATACAACACTTAAATAACCCCAGCCAAAGGGCAAAAAAACAAAACCACACATTTGTGGCACAGTACTGAACACAACTAGGCACTCCCTTGGAATTTAACATTGCTTCTGTATGTTACCAGGATAGTAAAATTTCTCTGTGAACAGAAATCTGCATTTTTAAAAAAAAATTGAATAATTGACTTGAAAATCTGCTGCTTCTTAACACTAATATGCTTATGATGTTTATTTCTACATTCAGCCTCAGCCTAAATCTCTAAATCTCTGTTTCAGCAGCAGGGGGAGGGGAAAATGATATAGAGCAAGGGAAGAAGGATGGAAGACTGAGAACAAGGAGATAAAGGAGGGAGTCTGGAAAAAAAAGCCCCTCAACCTTTTTAACATTTATTATTACACTGCTGGAAAAGAAACACTAAAAAAGACTAAAGCCCCATGGATTCTGTTGTGAGCATGACCTGCCTACAGGCAAGCACAGTCTCATAATGATATTCCCAGCTATACCATACAATTTAAATGTGATGGGCAGTACACACTAAAAAATGAGGAGAAATCTCCCTGCCCCCCAATCTTGTACTTGGAAGATTAACAAGGGTGACACAGATGTGCAAAGAAAAATCATGCTTCCACCCACAATCTAAATCAGAACTGCTTCAAGTAGGTCAAGCGTTGCTCATTTCAATTTAATCAAAATTAACACATACTCCACTCAGCTTAAACCTAACATTAATTAAACATTTGATTCATTGTTGAGATCTTAAATAATCTTTCAAATGTAGTATCTTGTAACTATTCTGTCACACACCTTTTGTCATGAATTCAGTGACGATGTAGATTGGTTCCTCAGAAACAACTGCATACAGTGGAACAAGCTTGTCGTGTCGCAATTTCTTCATGATCTGAGCCTCTTGCAGGAAAGCTTCTGGCATCATTGTACCAGGTTTCAGTGTTTTGATCGCTACTTTTGTGGTTCCATTCCATGTTCCTAGAGAAACAAATCAGGTTTTATGCTCCACTACAATACTGAAGAGACTTTCTGCCAAAACTGGGTGTTTTTTTTTTTGCTTTTGTTCCCTTAGCTAACAGAATAATTGCAAACTAGAACAATATTGAGTATTAGCTTTACCTTTACATGCTGATCATAACTGGTATTTTTCCTCTTCGTTTCTTTACAATACTATCTTTCCAGATCCTGATATTGATTTACTTAAAATACCACTAAAATATTCACGGGAACAACTGAAAGGTGTCACATTAAGCTCTTACCCATCCATACTTCACCGAAACATCCTTGGCCCAACTTAACTTCCAGCCTCAAAGATTCTCTAGGAATCTCCCAGGCATCTTTTGCTAGTCCCTGTGTTTGTGGTTTCACAGTGGGACATACGGTTGTTAGCTTATGACACAGCCCATCGGCATGTTCTGCAAAACAGAAATAATAAGCTTCACAGTTAAGACTGTAACAAAAGTAACATCTTAATGCTGATAAACTGAACTACTCCATATGTTGTTTGTTGAAATCAAAAGGAAATTTTACAGTTGTGAATTTAAAAAATAAGCCATGGATGCAGTGCTTCTTCCTCACAATAGGCACAAGGTAGCATCAGGACACTGGAACTTGGGCTTACCTCTGTAGTGTTTCACCAACTTCTGTAGAGATTCAAATTGTGCTCTGGTTGTGATATAGTATCCACCATTGTCAAGTTTTCTGATTTTGTAGTGTTTCACATTATCACCTCTGACCTCATCCCAGTCACGTATGGAAAGGGAATAAGCACCTAGGAAACAAGTCACACTTGGTTCCTCACCAAAAATTAAAAAACCATATTTAACACATCTCCCCAGCTGTCATTATACATATACATGTGTGCACATGCATATGGATCATGTGATAAGCATAAAAATGTTCATTATGTCCACCTGGGTGGTGGGGGAGAGGGGAACAGGAGAGAGATGCACAGACACTATACTTTACCTACCTTTAGTGGTTTCACTCTCTCTTACTAAGAAAATACCACGCTGGTTCCCAGGGTTTAAAAGTAGCCTTTCTGCATCTTTCCTGCCCATCTTACCAAAATACCACCTAGAAAATTTTAAAGGAAACATGTAAGTAAAAGCTTCCTATCTATGCTTTGGTACTCATATAAACATACAATTTAGAAATCTCAAGCATTGACTGGACTACTAATATCTCAAAGCAGTTCCTGGACTACTAATATCCCAAATCAGATATAGATCAACAATCCCTATAATCAAAAGATTAAGATGACCTATTTCTATATGACTCTCATTTCTGTTGTTTGCAGAATACATGTAAAGAGACCTGTATCTGCAAATACTATGGCTTTCTGGTGTTTTAACAATGGACATAACTGTATTTAACACTGAAAGTAACACCCTCCTCCAGCTAAGTTTACAGGTCAAGCTGTATCAGATGACACATTTTAGTAGCACACTCAAAATACTGCAGCAGCTGAAACTACCTTCTCTAAGGAGAGTTGGCTTTATGTTAGAAAACAGTGTTTAATGCAAAGTGGTTGTGCATAAATATCATTGGATCACAGGTTCATTCAGGCTGGAAGGGGCTCCTGGGATGTCTCTGGTCCAATCTCCTGCTGCAAGCAGGGTCAGCAGTAAGATCAGACCTGGTTGCTCAGGGTGTTGTCCACTTCAGACGTGAAAACATCGAAGATAGACTGCCAAGCTGGGTAACCTGTACCCCTTCCTGACTGACTTCAGGATAAAAAGGTTTCTTGTATCTAGCTGGAACCTCTCCTGTTTCAATTTTTGTTGCTTCCCGTCCTTCTCTCTTTGTAGAGGGAGCACTTTTTTCTGCTGATAATTTAGAAATAACCCCATGGTAGGTATCATTTACTTCTCTATGAGTAACACTCCATTTTGTTGAATTATCTTGATACCAAAAAGCATGCCATGTTTTAAAACACCTGCATTTTTTTTCTTGCCTTAAGTTCTTTCATAAAAAGAATTTCTTCTTCTATACTCCCACAGTGTGCTTATCCTGATCAACAGCCTGCACACAGCAGTGTCCTGAGCCAGTGAAAATTTTACGGTCCATTTTCATATGGGTGCCCAGACTTTGAATAACACTTATTTCTAACTACATTTTATTTTGATTATGTGCCTCAGAAGTCACAAAGTGATGCAAAGTGTAAATTTAAAACATTTTTATTTGTCACCATCTTAGCATCAAGAAAATTTGGCTTCATAGGTGACAGGAAAAATACTACTAAAAACTGCTACAAAAGAATGGCTTTGTGGGTGAAATATTTTCTCAGGGGAAGATGTAGATAAGGAAGGATCACTTTGTTGGCCTGTGAACAGAATGGCCTGTGCAATCACTTGAGAATTTAAAACTTATTCTTACATTTTATTGTATTTGCAGTGTGACTGTTTAAGTAGACGTGCAAAGTAAAAAAAGGATATGAAAGTGCACATGCTTGATACAATTTGGATGTAACCTATAATCTTACTGAAGTAAACTTGAACCCCAGTTAATTACTTCACATGAAAATGCCTCTTCCCCAGACTTCTACAACAATTTACAAACAATATTGTAAAATGCTATTTTATTTCACTACCTATAAAATAACACTAGTGTTTAATTGTTCTTTTGATGACCAAAAACCATTTATATTATGGTGTCATTCAAAAGGCACACGAATAATATGTAGATCTTGTCACAAGCAGTTTATATATAAATGCCTTCAGGCTTAGAAAAGTCCACTTGAAGAAAATCTTCCCAACTTGGGGATCTGTATTGCTTTTGTGCTTGCAACTCCAAGTGCAGTCAAAATACAAGCCTATAAATGCTACATATGCTATAAATGCTATACATATGTAAATGCTATAAATGCACACAAAAGTGCAGGGCTGACCAACTCTAAAGCAAATGAACTGCATTCCAAATGCTGAGGTGATCGTTAATAAAATAATTAGTTTTAAAAAGCTTCCTCATTTATCACGCTTCACTCTTCATGTCTAGTCATCACATAAACCTATGCCAAACTCCACCACCCTGCTTTGACAAGTCTTTAGGAGCCACACTATACTTGCAAAGGGCTATCCCTTTCCATTTTACCACCACTGCACTTGTAAGGACAATATGCTTTTATTGCATAGTTTTTTTCAAATTACCAAAAAATAAAGATAATAATTTTAAACCCAGCAGAAACCCAAGGGTGTAAAATAACAGTGCATCTTTGATGCAATCATTTTTCAACAGCAAAGAGCCAAGTAAAAGCAGCAGTAACATGCTAAATTCTCAGCTTGAGATTCAGGAAACATCTTGAAAATCAGGCACTTTTCCCAGAAGTGCAGCAGCAAACAGAGAAGTGCACAGATCATGTAACAGGGACCTGCTTATTGGCTGTACCTTGCCTGTATATTGAAGCAAGAGCTGAGAAACTTTATATTTCTAGTACAACAAATACCATCCCTTAGAACAAGCATAACCTGAAACTGTACTCCATCTCACAGTCACTTCATGTGATTCTGTAAGAGCTCTGGGATCTTTGCTTGTAAATAAATGTAAGACGTCCTGGCGCACAAAACAATATAGTTTTCCAAACAGCAGTCCTTAGCACACCCAACAATTCTGTCACCAAAAAAGTTATTACAGATTAATAGATTAGCAATAACTGTGAACACAAATGACTTTTTAGAATTTAAGACTTAGGTGACACCAAGGATATAGCTGATCTTGAATCAGGATTTGGCAACCAAAAATAAGGATTAAAACCTAGAGTTGATGGTGTGTGAACTATTTAACTAAAACCCAACCATCTTCACTTCATATGATACACAATGTGTGTCCTCCAATTCTTATCATTATTGCATGCTCCCATCCTTTTTCCTTTAGCCTTATGTACAGTAAGCAGGCACAAGACATCTGCATGAGTGCCCACCTCATGTCTAGTAACAATTATACCTTTTGACATAATCCAAATAGCCACACTGTAATTAGTAGTATTCTCCTACTTTACCCTTAAATGTTACATATACACCGAATTAAGGAATAGTATCACTACAGGGTACAAAGCATAGAATGGATAATAAGAGCAGATTGACAGGATACAATGTCTTACTCTTCTGCTTGAATGGAGTCTGCAGGAGCTACGTAATTGCTTGGGATGTAGCCTGTTTTTCCCGTAGCAATGGATCTTGCTTCCCACCAGTCTCCTTCCCTGCAACAGAAAAACCCATCAGTTACCTCTTCCACATATAACCAATATGTAACTCCCTAGCACCTGTAAGATACTCACATATGAAAGGCAGGTAAATTTATGTAACATGTTATTTCAATTATGAAGGCATCGAAAATAGTATGTGCTGCACCTACACACATCTGTTCTAAGCAACATGAATGCCTCTTAGTGCAACTTCATATTTTAAAATTTGGGGCTTTGTTTGTTTGCTTCTAAAACGCAAACCCAAAATGTTTTATGGTTGAGATAAGCAAATAAATTTTCTGGTTCTCTAGTCTTCATTGACCTCTCCAGATCATTCTGCCTGTATGCTGACAGTGAGCGATGATGGAAGCAGAGGTCAGCCAATAAAATTAAGAGAACTGGACAAATGAAACTGCTACATGTATGAATTAGAACAATTACTGCAGCAAAAAACTGAGTGTAAGGAAATCTCCAAGGTGGACAAATTATTTCCTCTTCATTAGACTTTCAGAAATCAGACTGTAATACAGTAATGCTGCTGCAACTGCACTAGAACATTAAACTACCCATAAACTATCTGCACATAGATTTACTGTGGAGGCCAGCTAGACAATTCCATGGCAAGGTGTCCCTGTCTATAGGCTGTGCACTTGCCTCTGGCATTTACAGAGCAGTGCTGTCAGCTGCACCCACCTCTCATGAGATTTGGAATCTTGTCAGAGAGTATCTGCAAGGTGCACAGCCTGGGATAGTATGTGTCTCTACCTCTGCTGCCCCAAAAGGGGTAGCTGTGCCTTACTGAGGCAGGGAGCAGAAGGATGTCACACAACTAACTGAAGCTTGGGGCTGACCCTGTCACTACATTTCTACATCTGCATGCAAACCCTGGTCTTAGCCCAAAAGGTTATTGTCTTAGCAGTATAATTATTTTAAGCCCATGGTTGTTGAATATTGCATGCATTCAAGGAAAAAAAAAAAAAATCAATCTACACGTCACTGAAATAGAATACACAGATTTCAAGAAGAGTTGAGGACCTAATTATTCCCAACAACCAAGCGAAGTCTGTAAATGAGAACACTTACGTGTTATTTATTATCTGGAACCGTTCACCTTTCTTAAATGAAAGGTCATCTGTAGTTCTAGCTTCATAATCATATAAGGCCACAAATACAGTAACACCACCTTAGGAAGAAGAAAAAAATCCCGTATGATATAGCAGTAATGTTGCAACACTTGATTTGAGGAGCTGTCCATGAAATAACTCATAAATTTTGACTTGCAAGAACTCAACACTCTGAGTCACATCTTATTTTGAAAGCCGTATCAATAATCAGCTCATTTCTTAAGACAGAGCAGTGCCTATAAACAGACATCCTATAAATATGCTCCTACACCACAAAAGGCCACTAAATACAACACTGGAACTACATAAATAATTAGAGCACTTATATACAGAAACCCGCATGACGCATCAGCAGTAAAAAACCCCCTAGTTTCTTCATTAGGCTTGCTACTTGTAAAGAAATGCAATTCTAGATGATTTTACAATACCACAATAGTGAACCGTCAGCCACTAATTTTTACAAAAGTAGTTTCCTGTTGAATTTAGCTATAACAGATGTGTTCCCAACCTTCTGAGGTTACATGTCAAGATCCACTCAAGGAACTGAACCAGAAATAAACATAATCCATTAGGGACAAAGACATTTCTCTGCTTTAGGACTAATGATTTTTAAAATTCCATCAAGCCTCCCCACCACTGAAGCAGACCCTTGCTGAGGATGATCTATTAGTGCATTACTCTGCACTGAGAGCAAGGAACAAGATAGGTCACAGGAGGAGCAGCTGCACTCCACTATCCCTAAGGAATTTGCTTCCCCATCCCACTTGTTGAACATGTCCCACAAACAGAACAGATGTAAGAGAGATGGGTGTTAGGAAGGCTCCTACATTTACTGGTAGGAAACCTTTTTCTACACTTCAAAGAACTTATCTATAAAACTGGGCTAAAAGAGAAAGAGGAAAAGGAGAACAGGCTATTTGAGAGGCACAAGCTACTAGCAAAGATAAGGAACTATGTACCATAACTAGGAGAAAGTTAAAATAGAAAATTGCAGATGGATAGTTCAGAAAGACTTTTTAAGCTCTAGAAATGCTATTTCACAGTCTAAGGAACATTTAGGAAGCCCAATGATAGTCCAAACAATAACTTATTTTAAAATGCATAATACTACAGTTCTAATATGCACATATATACAAGGATATACATGGAAGTCCACCAACAGAAACATGTTGTATCTAATTTTAGATCTTACAATTAATGTGACAGTGATCAGAAAGGAAGAATACATAATGCAAGGGGATATAGTCTGTATCTAATATTCTTTTGCAATGTACACTTTCTGATGTAAGAGCTCCTAATCACTTGAGTATTTTCATTTGATTTGGAGTCTTCCTGTGATTACAGTCTCTCAGCAGGCCTCAGCTGGAAATGAATTTACAGTTCCTCTAGGAAAAACAGAACAAAATCCCCACAGGAGGTTAGAGTAATTGAGGGAGTTTTTTTTAAAAGTGTGATTTATGAACTGAAAATGAATTAAAATATTCCATGAAAGCCAACAGCTTCTAATTTAAGTTAAAAATCAACAGGTTTTTTCCTACATTACTACATTAACTGCATTATTTTGCTGACACAAACTACTATATGGAGCAAGAAAATTGTAGGTATACACACCATATTCACATAAACAGAAAGCTAATGCTATGGAAATAAACAATCTCCAGAGCGTTCCTCAGCAGATGAAAAAAAAAAATCAATATCCTCAAGTCACAACATCAAAGAAGTTTTTAACTACATATAAAGAAACTGGGAGACTCCAAAAACCTCAAAACACTTCAGCGACCATAAACCCTCTTTTTATTCTCACTTACAAGTGTTTCATAGAAAGAATAAAATACTGAAGGAGAACACCATCAGCACAGAATGTTTTAAACAATGGTACTGTCAAATGATTTTTGAAGTCCCTTGCACCTGTTTTCTTTGTGAATCACTGCTAGGTGATCTAGTTTAGCTGTTTAAGCTACCTGTGGTGATAACACTTCCCTTAAAGTCTGACCTTTCATGACTGGTTTTGGAGAGGTGGCTTTACTTTCTTGTTCAGCATGAGAATTACAGAGCACTAGTACTTACACAGCTTCATGGAAGGCAAGAACAGCAATCCATTTTTTCTGTTTTGATTTTCAGCAATATTCTATGAATTCAAGGTATCTGATGACTGAGAATGTATAATACAGGAACAGTGTGACTAACTCAGATTTCTTCTCCTTTTCTGCTCTAGAGGAATAAAAGATGGCTCAACTCTTTTCAGCCTCACAACAGGCCACGATGACAACCGTATCATCCTCTCCTCACACATCACTGATCAGCTGGATAAGTACTACTGACACTTACATCCTGTTTGACAAGCCCATCTATTCTCCTCTCTTGAGAAGCAAAAGGCCACAGAATGCGAATCCAGTGTTTTATTTGCCACAAATACAAAAAAGCTCATGGCCAGATGAAAGTTTTCATCTTATTCACTTACAAAATTCATCTGAAAATCAGTACTGAATGGACCAAATAAATTCTGGTGCAATTTTATTTATTTATTAATTTTAGCAGTGTGTTTGTTTGTGGATGGGCAGGTTTTACAGAACAAGAAGGAATAATTACATATGCAGTATCATTTTACCTAATTGCAAAACGATGGGAGCGTTCGCACAGATCAGCCTGCCTGCTGATAACTGATTTCACACTGATGAGATATTAGACTCTATTTTCAAGAGAAATCTCTCTTGTTGATTCTGGTTCAAGACATAACATGCTTAACTACCAGCAGGAACAGGAACAGACGACAGAACATCCACTCTGGTCTCTGCAGCAAAGGCTTTGTGGTACCTGGCAGGGGATTATAATCCCTGATGTCTGGAAATGCCCAGGAGTGCCTGCATGTACTGCTGGAGATTCCCATGAGAACAAAAAAACAGATCTACTAAGAAGAAATACACTGAGTTTCTTGGAGGAGATGAAGCACAATAAGCTTTCCTCAGCAGAGCTAATGAACATAAAGAAATGCTGCCCTTAATTCATTTCTACATATGTTCGTCCAAAACAGAGATTCAGAGCTGACTCGTAAATTTTGAGACATGGTAGATGCTCATTTTAATTATTTGGTTTTTAATGAATTCCCAAGCAAAGGAATATGAGATGATCATTGCCTGACAATTCATATTTGGTTTCCTGAATTGCTTAGTGTCAAGGTCAGAATGGGTTTTCATGTAACTCCAATTTCTTGTGTTTAAAAGATTTTAAATGCCACTGTAATGAAGTATACATTTAAGCACTGTTATTGTGTCAACATTAGAGGTTTGTGGCACAACTAGAAATAGACTAATAAGGAATTATTTACTGTTTTCAAAGTGTCTGTTCAAAGCTTCTAGAATAAATAACTCTTCCTTTCTTGGTGCTCTCTCTCAAAAAGAAATTACAGCTTCATCTCAAAAATATCTATCAAAACTATGAAATTAGCCATATGCACAGAATTAGTATTTTTGTAATAAAGTTTTAAGATTTTGACATAAATGTAGGTTTATAACTCAAATGTGCATGTTGCTTTAAAATGCTGTAATTTCTGTATCTCAGCCAAGGTCTCTGTGCCTTGTAAATTCTGTTTTTGTATTTTCAACTTTTTGGTTTTAATATGATCACCAACAATGAGAATTCTGTTCTTTTGTTTCACACATATTGTTCATATAGGAAAGTACACAGAATATACTGCATATCCTGTTTAGCTTTACAAATGAATCGTTTCAATGTTGTACTGATGTAACTTACAGCTAATAATAACTTTCAAGTCTGAAACCCAGTTTGAAGTATCAATTTCCTGAATCTGAGGTGTTTTTCATTTTGCACATTTCTCCAAGTTCAAAGCCATTATCCCACATGCATCTCTTGAACGGCTTAGAACTTCTAACGCAGTTTTATCAACTATTCCCATTACTGTGTTTAATAAGTCTTAAATTTCTCTGTGCTGTAATCCTAATCACCCCACAAAACCAAAAGCCTATACACTCAACCCTCAAACCACAGTCACTAGTGAATATGGGCTGAAATTGTTACCTGAGCAGTGAAGATAATGAAGATCAGAAATCTCTAAATGGCAATTTATTTTACATTTGCAATTTATTTTTGTGTGGCGAGATGTCACAGAGGTATTTTTGACTATGGCTGTCAAGCTGCTATAATAAATAATAATAATAGCAGCATCATTTTATGTAACACTCACCTGTTAGAGTACTAGGATATGGACTTGGCACAGCTGAAAATGAAGATGATGCTCCTCCGAAGGGTGTCATCCCTGAAGGCCCTCCAAAAGGAGTCATGGAATGACTATTAAAATTAACTGCTGATCCCTTTATTGACGGTGACTGTGTTGCTTGGCTGGAGTCTGATCCATAATGACTGACATGGGAAATAACAGGTTCTGGAGCATTATCAGTTCTGTATTTCATGGCTGGACCTTTATCTTCTTTGCTTTTAATGCACCCCATGGTTGGTTCTGTGAGAAAGAGGAAAAAAAAGGAAAGAGTTAATCTCCATGTTCTGTCTTTTGACAGTGAACACAGAAGACTCCCACAAAGTTATCAAAAATGCTAGTTTATTACTGTTAAACAAGACCAACACAACTACAAAACAATTACCAGCAGTTGCTGCCACATGCAGAGCATAAACTCTGATGAAAAATTGCTCTGGAAAAAAATCTAAGCCACTACCAGACTAGAGAAGCCCTGATTATTTTCCCTTACAACATCACACTCTAACAGCATGTTTGGATTATTCTTCATCCCAGTTCCTTGGTGGACTGTAAATGGCAGCAAAGAAAAAAATGGGGGAAAACCAAAAAAGATGGAATAAGGCAACAAACAAGGAAAATACATTGCAGACATCTATAGCAGGGTGGAAGGCAAAACTGATGTGACAGTTACTTATATGAATCAAATCCAAAGCAATTATATAAAGAAAATGAGTGGGGGATTCCTGCTTTCTTTTTCAAGTACCTGTGCAAAGAAGTCCTGACCACCTGGTGGCTTTAAAACCAACATCTTTCAAGATGTAGAGAAGTTTTCACCTGCTGCCCTCCCCCCAAATACATCTCACAAATAAACCTGGGATATTCACAGCCACAGGATAGGGTTAAGCTCTAGAGTGTAACTAGAATTAGAAAAAAAAATATCGAAGAGCAATTACAACATCCACGGTGGTTTAGAAACTGAACTGTGCCTGGACAGGTGACAATTTATAGCCCTGACGGCCCAGGATTGCCACCACCTCCCACTACAGGCAGGCTGTGCCAGAGCTGTTTGCTAAGGGGATACCTATTACCTGCTGATGGAGGGAATCCAAGAGGAGACCTGTCACCAGCAATTAACATGACTGAGCCCTAAGAAGTCACCACCTGCCATTTATCAGGTGGTGACAACTGATAGCAGGCATCTTCTGGCTTATCCCAGCTAGGGGACAAATCAGGAAGAAAACAGGAGTGTCTGCTAGATGTAGCACTAGTCTGGCATTAAAATTCCTGTATTCTTCATGGGGAGTCAAAAATTAACTTTAACTTCAAAAGCAGAAACCTCCACAAAAATAGGAAATCAACTGCTCCACATTCTCT